CCTCCATTTTTTGTCTGCCGTGCATGCTCAGATTCCTGATGTTCGTGGATCTAGACTCGGGCACAGTTGGCTTCGGCACCGAGGTCACCTACTGGGGTGACGTCATATCTGGCCTGCCCACAGACCGGAAGCGCCCACTGTACGTCATGGCGGGGTTGGTGCGACACCTGGCGGAAGTGCAGATCTACTACAAGGGCTCGGCCGGTGAGTTGTGTAGTTGAGGGTTCGAGACTGCGTGGCCTATCGTGTTGAGAGGGAAACTAAATGTATATATAGATTTTTTTGCAGACAAAAATAAAAACTAACATGTTGCATCTCTGTGAACTGCTATTTGTCGATGACTGTGTATTGCTTGATTATAAAAAATCCAGTCTGCAAAAAGGTTGTGATCTATTTTCAAATACATGGGAAAATGCTGCCCACCTATACTATCTTGTTCCTGACTATGATCTCCCCTGTTCTATCTTGTTCCTACCTGTGATCTCACCTGTTCTATCTTGTTCCTACCTGATCTCCCCTGTTCTATCTTGTTCCTACCTGTGATCTCACCTGTTCTATATTGCACCTACCCGTGATCTCACCTGTTCTACCTTGCACCTACCTGTGATCTCACCTGTTCTATCTTGTTCTAACTGTGATCTCACCTGTTCTATCTTGTTCCTGACTGTGATCTCACCTGTTCTATCTTGTTCCTAACTGTGATCTCACCTGTTCTATCTTGCACCTACCTGTGATCTCACCTATATTATCTTGCTCCTAAATGTTACCTCGCTTGTTCTATTTAGCACCTACCAGTGATCTCACCTGTTCTATCTTACACCTACCTGTGATCTCACCTGTTCTATTTTGCACCTACCTGTGATCTCACCTGTTCTATCTTACACCTACCTGTGATCTCACTTGTTGCTCCCCAGACCCCAACAGCGCCCAGTTCCCCAGCCCCGACATGTCGACCGCCATCTCATCGTACAGCATGCCCCCGGCCCCCGGACCTGCTTACGTCACTGCCGGGCCATCTGGTGAGGAGCAGACGTTGTTGTTGGTGGTGGTGGTGATGTTGGTGATGTTGGTGATGTTGGTGGTGGTGGTGGTGGTGGTGATGTTGTTGTTGTATTATTGTCGTTGTTGTTGTCGTTGTTGTTGTTGTTGTTGTTGG